GGGAGGCTGAGGCAGGAGAATTGCTTGAACCCGGGAGGTGGAGGTTGCAGTGAGGTGAGATTGCACCACTGCACTCCAGCCTAGTGAGAGAGCGAGACTCCGTCTCCAAAAAAAAAAAGTGAATTAGTTGAATTTGGGTGGTGAAAAGTGTCCATTTCATGAGAAGCCAGCTTAGGGTTGTGGATGGTTAGAGCTGTGAGAGGCCAGTAGATGCTGGGTTGCTATGCTCTGGAGTGGGTGAGAAAATTTGTTATAGGACTTAAGGTAGGCCTTGAAGAATTAAGGGTCATTTAGTGGGACAAAACGTCCCCAGAATTAGTTGAAGGCAATAGGCAAATGGTCAGGAATAGGGGGCAGTGAACACAGTGTTGGGTGAATAGTGGGGGGATGGTCATTGGAAACTCTGGCCCATCTGAGTTTGTGTCAGGGAATAATGGGAGATAGGCCAGAAAAGATGGATAAAGCTCAATTGTGAGGGAAGACAAAGGTGTGAGGATTTTGTTTTGTGACCACCAAGAAGCCATTGATAGTGCTTATTTTAAAGATGCTTTTCCTTTTATACATTTATACATAAATACATAAATATACTTAACCATTCTGTAGTAATAATAATCATTTATGTTTCCAGCATAAAATATTCATATAACTTCTACATAGCTGATTTTTATGTTAAATGTAACATGTGTTTTTAGAAGATGTTTTATGTGCTCATTTTCTTTCTAGACTACTTAGAGATAATTTATGTTTACCAGTGGGTTTGGATGTGAGCTGAGTACCTTGAGTTTTTTCTTTTTTTCTTAGGAAAATGGGTCTTGCGCTGTCATTCTTGCTGGAGTGTGGTGGAGCGATCGTAGCTCACTGCAGCCTTGAAGTCCTGGGCTCAAGCAGGCCTGCTTCAGCCTCCCGAGTAACTGGGAGTACAAGCGCATGCCACCAGGCCGGGCTAAATTCCCCGCACTTTTTTTTTAATTTTTATTTTTTGAGATGGAGTCTCACTGTGTCGCCAAGGCTGGAGTGCAGGGGCGCGATCTCGGCTCACTACAAGCTCCGCCTCCCGGGTTCTTGCCATTCTCCTTCCTCAGCCTCCCGAGTAGCTGGGACTACAGGCGCCTGCCACCACACCTGGCTAATTTAATTTTTTGTATTTTTAGTAGAGATGGGGTTTCACCATGTTAGCCAGGATGGTCCCAATCTCCTGACCTCATGATCCACCCACCTCAGCCTCCCAAAGTGCTGGGATTACAGGCATGAGCCACCATGCCCAGCCTCTCCCTTTTAAACTGTGTGATTCTTTGGTTTTTCATGTGTATACAGTTTTGTAGTCATCACCATTATCTGACCAGAACATTTCATCATCCCCCAAAAAAGCACCATATCCATTAGCAGTCACTCACCATTCCCTGCTCCTCTCAGCCTGTGGCAACCACTTATATACTTTCTGTCTTTATTGATATACCTATTCTGGAAAGTTCATGTGTATATATATATACACACACAGAACGATCATATATCTATATGTGTGTGTGTATATATATGTATACACACACAGAAAGTTCATATATATATGTATATATAAAATCATGGAATACATGGCCTTTTATGACTGGCTTCTTTAGCATAATGTTTTCAAGATTCACCCGTGTTAGAGCATGGATCAGTACCTTGTTCTTTTTATTAATGAATGACAGTCCAGTGCCTGGATATATCACATTTTACTTACCCAATCACCAGTTGATGGGCAATTGAGTTGTTTCCACTTTTGGTCTATTATGCATAATGCTGCTGTGAACAGCAAATTCTGGTGAAGACATACGTTTTCATTTCTCTTGGGCATATACCTAAGAGTAGAATTGCTTGGGTGTATGATAACTGTGTTTAACATTTTGAGAAATTGGAAAACTGTTTTCCACAGTGGCTGCACCATTTTACATTCCTACCAGCAGTGTATAAGGACTTCAGTGTTTCCATGTGCTTGCCAACACAGGTTTTCTGACTTACTGATTTATAGCCACCTAATGGGCGTGAAGTGATACCTCATTGTGTTTTAAATTTGCATTTCCTAAGTGAGGAATGATTTTGAGCATCTTTTTATGTGCTTATTGGCCATTTTTCTGTATCTTTGGAGAAATGTCTATTCAGATCCTTTTCTCATTTTTAAATTGGGTTGTCTTACTGAATTGTAAGGGTTCTTTGTATATTCTGACTACAAGTCCCTTATTAGATACATGGTTTGCAAAATTTTTCTATAATTCTGTGGGGAGTCATTTCACTTTCTTGATGCAATCCTTTCAAGCAAAAAGAATTTCAGTTTTGATAATGTTCTGTTGTTGCTTGTTTTGTTTTGTTTTTTGCATATCTAAGAAGAATTTGCCTAACCCAAAGTCACAGAGATTTATTCCTATGTTTTCTGAGAGTTCATTTTGGTGTATTTTGTAAGGGAAGAGTCCAGCTTTTTTCTTTTGCATGTGGATCTGTAGTTGTTCCAGCACTGTTTGTTGAAAAGACTATTCTTTCCCCCATTGAACTGTCTTGGGCATCCTTGTTGAAATTGATCATAAATGTGAGGAATTTTTTCTGTACTCTGAATTTGATTCCTTTCATTTAGGTTGTCTTTGATTTCTTTCAACAGTGTTTTGTAGTTTTCACTGTATGAACTTAGTACTTCCTTGAAATTTGTTGCTTATGATTTTATTCATTTTGATGCTGTTAATTTTGAGACGGAGCCTTGCTCTGTCGTCCAGGCTGCAGTGCAGTGGCGTGATCTTGGCTCACTGGAAGCTCCGCCTCCAGAGTTCACACCATTCTCCTGCCTCAGCTTCCTGAGTAGCTGAGACTACAGGCACCTGCCACCACGCCCAGCTAAATTTTTGTGTTTTTAGTAGAGATGGGGTTTCACCATGTTAGCCAGGATGGTCCCAATCTCCTGACCTCATGATCCACCCACCTCAGCCTCCCAAAGTGCTGGGATTACAGGCATGAGCCACCATGCCCAGCCTCTCCCTTTTAAACTGTGTGATTCTTTGGTTTTTCATGTGTATACAGTTTTGTAGTCATCACCATTATCTGACCAGAACATTTCATCATCCCCCAAAAAAGCACCATATCCATTAGCAGTCACTCACCATTCCCTGCTCCTCTCAGCCTGTGGCAACCACTTATATACTTTCTGTCTTTATTGATATACCTATTCTGGAAAGTTCATGTGTATATATATATACACACACAGAACGATCATATATCTATATGTGTGTGTGTATATATATGTATACACACACAGAAAGTTCATATATATATGTATATATAAAATCATGGAATACATGGCCTTTTATGACTGGCTTCTTTAGCATAATGTTTTCAAGATTCACCCGTGTTAGAGCATGGATCAGTACCTTGTTCTTTTTATTAATGAATGACAGTCCA